ACTAGGAGCCCTTCCAAGTAGTAGGAGTAGGAGGGAAGGAAAGGGAAGGGAAAAGGAGAAGGAAGGAAGGGGGCGCCCCCCTCCCTAGTCCAATTCGGACCAGCCCATGCGGAGGGGTGCGGCCACCCTTTGAGGCCTTCCTCTCCTTTCCCGTATGGCCCATTAAGGCCCAATACGAATTCCAGTAACTCCCCGGTACTCCCGAAAATACCCAAATCACTCGAAACCTTTCCGATGTCCGAATATAGTCGTCCAATATATCGATCTTTATGTCTCGACCATTTCGAGACTCCTCGTCATGTCCTCGATCTCATCCGGGACTCCGAACTCCTTCGGTACATCAAAACACATAAACTCATAATATAACCGCCATCGAACTTTAAGCGTGCGGACCCTACGGGTTCGAGAAATATGTAGACATGACCGAGACACGTCTCTAGTCAATAACCAATAGCGGAACCTGGATGCTCATATTGGCTCCTACATATTCTACAAAGATCTTTATCGGTCAAACCGAATAACAACATACGTTGTTCCCTTTGTCATCGGTATGTTACTTGCCCGAGATTCGATCGTCGGTATCTCAATACCTAGTTCAATCTCGTTACCGGCAAGTCTCTTTACTCGTTCCGCAACACATCATCCCACAACTAACTCATTAGTTGCGACGCTTGCAAGGCTTATAGTGATGTGCATTACCGAGTGGGCCCAGAGATACCTCTCCTACAATCGGAGTGACAAATCCTAATCTCGAAATACACCAACCCAACAAGTACCTTCGGGGACACCTGTAGAGCACCTTTATAATCACCCAGTTACGTTATGACGTTTGGTGGCACACAAAGTGTTCTTCCGGTAAATGGGAGTTGCATAATCTCATAGTCATAGGAACATGTATAAGTCATGAAGAAAGCAATAGCAACAAACTAAACGATCAAGTGCTATGCTAACGGAATGGGTCAAGTCAATCACATCATTCTCTAATGATGTGACCCCGTTAATCAAATGACAACTCATGTCTATGGTTAGGAAACTTAACCATCTTTGATTCAACGAGCTAGTCAAGTAGAGGCATACTAGTGACACTCTGTTTGTCTATATATTCACACATGTATTATGTTTCCGGTTAATACAATTCTAGCATGAATAATAAACATTTATCATGAAGTAAGGAAATAAATAATAACTTTATTATTGCCTCTAGGGCATATTTCCTCCAACTCCAACTCTATATATTTGCTTCCGTGAAGAAAAAAATAAGAGAGAAGAATTCATCGCGTTTTACGACACGGAGCCGCCGTCAAGCCCTAAAACCTCTCGGGAGGGCTGATCTGGAGTCCGTTCGGGGCTCCGGAGAGGGGAATCCGTCGTCATCGTCATCATCAACCATCCTCCATCACTAATTTCATGATGCTCACCGCCGTGCGTGAGTAATTCCATCGTAGGCTTGTTGGATGGTGATGAGTTGGATGAGATCTATCATGTAATCGAGTTAGTTTTGTTAGGGTTTGATCCCTAGTATCCAATATGTTCTGAGATTGATGTTGCTATGACTTTGCTATGCTTAATGCTTGTCACTAGGGCCCGAGTGCCATGATTTCAGATCTGAACCTATTATGTTTTCATCAATATATGAGAGTTCTTGATCCTATCTTGCAAGTATATAGTCACCTATTATGTGTTATGATCCGTTAACCCCGAAGTGACAATAATCGGGATACTTACCGGTGATGACCATAGTTTGAGGAGTTCATGTATTCAGTGAGCTAATGCTTTGTTCCGGTACTCTATTAAAAGGAGGCCTTAATAACCCTTAGTTTCCATTAGGACCCCGCTGCCACGGGAGGGTAGGACAAAAGATGTCATGCAAGTTATTTTCCATAAGCATGTATGACTATATTCAGAATACATGCCTACATTACATTGATGAATTGGATCTAGTTCTGTGTCACCCTATGTTATGATTGTTACACGATGAACCGCATCCGCATAATTCTCCATCACTGATCCATTGCCTACGAGCTTTCCATATATTATTCCTCGCTTATTTACTTTTCCGTTGCTATTGCTATCATCACTACAAAATACCCAAAACATTACTTTTGCTATCATTACCTTTTGCTACCTTACCGCTACTATCATATTACTTTGCTACTAAATACTTTGCTGCAGATATTAAGTTTCCAGGTGTGGTTGAATTGACAACTCAGCTGCTAATACTTGAGAATATTCTTTGGCTCCCCTTGTGTCGAATCAATAAATTTGGGTTGAATACTCTACCCTCGAAACTATTGCGATCCCCTATACTTGTGGGTTATCACACATGTATTTGAGTTTCCGGTCAATACAATTATAGCATGGATAATAAACGATTATCATGAACAAGGAAATATAATAATAACCACTTTATTATTGCCTCTAGGGCATATCTCCAACACCCACACGCTGCCCTAGACGTCGTCGGCCTTGCCCTTGCCCTTGACATCGCCATCGTCATCATCGCCGATGAGGGCGATGAAGACGGGAGCAGGGCCAGCCCACCCGAACGCCACTTGGTAGGCTGCCAGGGCAGCCTCCTCTGGCGTCTGCTGGGGTGGTGGCATTGTGGCTCGTCGTGCACGCTCCTCTTCCTCCTCCTCAAGCCGCAATGTCTCCGCATCGGCTTGCAGCAGCTGCTTGTAGCGCATCTGCCGCTCGCCGTCGGCCTCCTCCTGGGCGAGCCAGTGCGCCTTCTAGCGTAGAAGGTGGGCCGCCTCCTCCTCCGGCGTCGCGGTGTACTGGAAAGGAGGCGCGCTGACACACTCGCGGTACTGTCCGGTCATGTGTAGGCCTCCTCCTGCCAAGTGGGTGGAGGCAGGGAGCGCTTTCGCGTCGGCACCGGCTCCGGCTCGACGGGCGACGGCGGTGGCGGAGGCGGGGCGAAGAGCTGGGTGTGGACGGAGTCCCCCGCCGCCGACAAGGCAAGGGCTTTGCTCTAGCCCATCCCAGTGCGCGTCCTCCTCAAGCCGGCTAGCCTCCAGCGCGTGCTACAGGGCCTCCTCGAGGGCGGCTTGGTACTCCGCCTCCGCCTCCATTTCCTCCAGCTCTACCCGCGGGGGCGGCGGTGGAAACGGCGGGGGACACGTCAACACCGACACGCCGTTGCTCCTCGTGTTCGAGGGCAAACCAAGCCTCCCAGTCGGGAGAGTCGGCGGCGTACTCCGGCATCCGCCGCTGCTCCGGTGTGAGCTGCCCCCGGTGCCTGCGCACCTCCTCGTCATGCGCCCGCTGCGTACGCAGAACCGTCGGCACGGGGATCCGTTGCGGATCCAGGTGCCAGTGGTGCGGCAACGTGACGTCGGGGTAGGGCAGCGACTGCCTGTACTCCCAGTGCCACCGCGCTTGGTGCACCAGGATGTGCAGACGGCGGCGACCAGGGCGGAAACACGCCGACGCCGGAGGAGGAGGGGGAGGAGAAACACGAGAGGATGAGGCGCCGGGGGTGCCCTTGCCCTTCCCTTGCCGCTACTGCTGTCGAAGAGGCCCATTGCTTGCTAGGGTTTGGTGTCTTCGACGAGGAAGCACAAGAGGGTGGTGGGGGCCAGATGTGGACGGAAGTGGATGAGGCCGGCCCACGCCGCATGCGTGGTTAAAAAAGGACGCTTCCACTGGCCGACTAGTGGGCCCGCTGTCGGTGGTCGTCATAAATTAGACGACGGACGGTAGTTAGGTGGCCTACAAGTTGGGACGCGGCGGACGCCGAGGAGACGCGCGGCGCGTTCGCGCCGACGCATTTCAGGCGCAATTTTGGACTGGAAATGGATCGGCGCGGACGCCAGGCGGACGAGATTTGAGTGTGGGTCAGCGCGTTGGGCCTCTACTTTTGTCCGCGCCGATTCAAACGGACGCAAGCGGACAAAATGGGTCGCTCATTGGAGTTGCTCTTACAAGCTGAGCGCAAGCGACTTTTTACAGCTCAATCTTGAGCTTCGCTCAGTTTACAGTCTGTGAGAAAGTTTCAGGAAACTATGCATTTTTTTTCAACCAGAAAAACATGGCAAGGACGAGGACAAGGGGACCATGCGAACACGATCTGCAACGAAGCAAATGACATTCTGCTGCATTGGCACACACCATGTTAACATCTGCCATCTTTTATGATTGTCGCTGCTTTATCTGTGCATCGCTGCATGCCCAGCTAATAATATCATCTTTTCCATTAGGGGAGCTAACCTCAGCTCTGCTCACACCGGCCTCATCCAATTTCCGTGTAGATATTTCGAGCAATTCTGTGGCCCAGTGAAGAAGATACCCCCATACAGAAAAACGCCGATAGGCAGGCAGCCAAAACGAGCAAGCACGCAATAATGCTCCCCGCAACCACAAGCCTGTGCAGCGCGATCTTGCACAAGATCGAGGGTGTTTTATCCACTTGCCGCTGAAAATGACTATAGCTGCTAGGCCAACGCTGTCTTTTCAGCTCCGCACTCCGCACTAGAATACACCTTCAGACAAAAACGTCGACGGGGCGCAAGTGAGATCAAATCAGTAATCCTGTGAGAAAAGCGTACGCGATCACCGGCGGCGGCACGCTGGTGAGCGTTGAGCCGCGGCGCGTACGGTGCTAGAGAGTAGAGATGTGGTGGTAGGCTGGTACCGTGCTGGCTGTACCCGGGTGGGCGAGGCCATTTATCGCTCGCGTCCACCGGCGGGGCGGCGTACGTGGCGCGGCGCCAGCAGACGGGACGGGACGAGCCGCGCAGGTAAAAGCTGCCGCCTCCCCAAGTCACGTCCGCCCCGGCTCGCTCCTATCGCTCCCTTCTCCCTCCAATAATTTCGCTTCCTTCATTCACTTCTCCCGTCCTCCCGCAAAGCCCACCCCGCAGCAGAAAGGGAGGGAGCGCGGAGGAATCTCCGTCTCCGCCTCCGCCTCCCCCTCCATGCCCCCGCTCCCCGCCGGGCCCGGCCCAGATCTCCCGCGCGGCGGCCGCTAGCCGATCCGCCTAGCCCCGCTCGATCCGATGGGCGGGGAGGTGCCGGAGCCGCGGCGGCTCAGCCGCGCGCTCAGCTTCGGCTGCGGCGGCGTGCCCGACGAGGCGCTGCACCTCGTCATGGGCTACGTCGACGCCCCGCGCGACCGGGAGGCCGCCTCGCTCGTCTGCCGCCGCTGGCACCGCATCGACGCGCTCACCCGCAAGCACGTCACCGTCGCCTTCTGCTACGCCGCCGACCCGGCCCGCCTCCTCGCGCGCTTCCCGCGCCTCGAGTCGCTCGCCCTCAAGGGCAGGCCGCGCGCCGCCATGTACGGCCTCATCTCCGACGACTGGGGCGCCTACGCCGCGCCCTGGGTCGCCCGGCTCGCCGCGCCGCTCGAGTGCCTCAAGGCGCTCCACCTGCGACGCATGACCGTCACCGACGATGACGTCGCCGCGCTCATCCGCTCCCGCGGCCACATGCTGCAGGAGCTCAAGCTCGACAAGTGCTCCGGCTTCTCCACCGACGCGCTCCGCCTCGTCGCCCGCTCCTGCAGGTAGTCCACCAGCTCTACTCACCTGCATCCGCGCACCTCTTTTTTTTTTTTTGCCCTCTTGCCTGTTGATTTGTGGTGGTGAGTTCCAGTAATTGTGACAGTTGATCTGCTCATTGATGAATGAGGATTGATCTGGTCTGTGTGTTGGTTGGTTTCGCCAAATGGAGTATACTGGATAAGGACGAGTTAAGAGCCAGTTTCTATAATTAGATATTTGTTTGCTCTATCACGAGCTGTAACAAATACGGTCATGTGAGGGAAGGTGTCAAGTTAGCTTCCACACACTTTGTTTGGGCGCCATGATACACCATGGCACTAGTTTTCTACGACAAATTGATATGAGCAGTATATGCAAATGACTGCCGAAGGGAGATATATGAGATTTGGTGTAGTTCTATGGTTTACCTGTCGTTTCTGTCCAGCATATGTCCGATCCGGCCTCTAGTTTGTAAAATTGACTCAAACCAGCTGACAAGTCCCAACCAAGTCGGGCTTAAGCAAACTATAATGCGAGGTTGCACCAGTCAGGTGATCTGTCTTCCCCAGGAGGGCTATCGTACTACTACTTTGATTGGACTTGAACAGGACTACATCCGTCCCTGTGGAACATCTTGAACCAAAATAAAGTTGCAAGTTGGTGTTTCTGTTACCAATCAATTCTATCATGTTCAGATTAGTGTGGCACTATGTCATGCCGTCATATCGACTTTCAAGCATCATCTTGGTCCTTCCTTTTTACTCTTTTGGCAGAAGCCTTTCCATGTGTCCGTGTTAACTTTGCTTTGTCTGAATTCTGCAACTACGAAGTTGTCTGAGGGAAATTATTTTCCCTTAGAATGCAAGTATGATTTGTGTGAGCTTGTCAAGTTCACATATGGAGCTGGGAGACTAAAGGTTAGCATGCTACAGAGGATCTGTAGTGCTTTAGTTAAAATGCATGTACAGTGTGCTCCTTTGTGCCTGGAAATGCCTCATATGCAAATGTGAATTGAAAAAAATAAAATTGACTTGACTGCAATGGCTGTTCCGCTGTCCCACTATTAATGAAAGGGGACAGAACATGGGGACATCGGGGCATGTTCATGAAGTTTGAGACGTGTCTTTATAGGTTTCCTGGTTCACCAGTAATCCACTTTTCATCGCACTTTCCATTCTTCCTTAGCTTACAACTATTGCTGTGCTCCTTTAGCAAGACATTCGACTGTGGTACATTAATTCAAAGTGATTTTACTGTCACTGCATGATTGCGTGCTATCACTGCAGTTAACATGCTATTCTAAATTATCTTGGCAGATCCTTGAGAACATTATTTCTTGAAGAATGTGTGATTGCTGATGAAGGTGGTGAATGGCTTCATGAACTTGCTGTCAACAATTCTGTTCTTGTGACACTGAACTTCTACATGACTGAGCTCAAAGTGGTGCCAGCTGATCTGGAGCTTCTAGCAAAGAACTGCAAATCATTACTTTCTTTAAAGATCAGTGAGTGTGACCTTTCAGACCTGATTGGTTTTTTCGAAGCAGCCAATGCATTGCAAGATTTTGCTGGAGGATCGTTCAATGAGGTAGGAGAGCTAACAAAGTATGAAAAAGTCAAGTTTCCACCAAGAGTATGCTTCTTGGGGCTTACGTTCATGGGGAAAAATGAGATGCCTGTTATCTTCCCTTTTTCTGCTTCATTAAAGAAACTGGACTTGCAGTACACTTTCCTCACCACTGAGGATCATTGCCAGCTTATCTCAAAATGCCCGAACCTATTTGTTCTCGAGGTAGTGTTTCTCATATACTCTTGTATTTTGGGTGTGAAATTTGTTGTACTCTCATTTTTACTGACAGTAGATTCTGTCAACAGGTGAGGAATGTGATAGGAGACAGAGGGCTAGAGGTTGTTGGTGATACATGCAAGAAGCTACGAAGACTTCGAATTGAGCGAGGGGATGATGATCCAGGTCTCCAAGAAGAGCAAGGAGGAGTTTCTCAGTTAGGCCTGACAGCGGTAGCTGTTGGTTGCCGTGACCTGGAGTACATAGCTGCCTATGTATCTGATATCACCAACGGCGCTCTCGAATCCATCGGGACCTTCTGCAAAAATCTCTACGACTTCCGGCTTGTCCTGCTCGACAGACAAAAGCAGGTAACCGATCTGCCGCTCGACAACGGTGTTCGAGCTCTGTTAAGGAGCTGCACCAAGCTCCGGAGATTTGCTCTCTACCTGAGACCTGGAGGGCTCTCAGACACAGGCCTCGACTACATCGGGCAGTACAGCGGCAACATCCAGTACATGCTACTGGGCAACGTCGGCGAATCGGACCACGGGTTGATCCGCTTCGCAATAGGATGCACCAACCTGCGGAAGCTTGAGCTTCGGAGCTGCTGCTTCAGCGAGCAAGCCCTGTCCCTCGCGGTGCTCCACATGCCCTCGCTCAGGTACATATGGGTGCAAGGCTACAAGGCCTCTCCAGCAGGCCTGGAGCTCCTCCTCATGGCGAGGCGATTCTGGAACATCGAGTTCACGCCCCCCAGCCCCGAGGGCTTGTTCCGCATGACGCTCGAAGGAGAACCCTGCGTGGACAAGCAGGCCCAGGTTCTTGCCTACTACTCCCTTGCCGGGCAGAGGCAGGACTGCCCTGACTGGGTGACCCCGTTGCATCCAGCCGCATGAATGATTGTAAATACATCTAGTTGTGTGTACGTACCTACTGTACCTTATGTTGCCCTTGGGTCCCTTTGGCAAGAACCGTATCTGAATATGGCAATTTGTATGGATGTAGATCATTAGCTTAGCTGCTTTGGTGCCCTAATAAGCTAGTAGTGCTGTAGCTGAGGTGTAGTACAATAAGTTGCCGTTGTCGCTTGTACTACTATGTATGTAATCCTGGGAAGTTGTATGCTAAAGTTGCTCTGTGCTTTGATCTTCTCTCTGAAATCTTGATCGGTTGCTGGTTTTGTCTCTGCTTAAAACCACATTGTACTCAAATTTTCCTTTTGCAATGGAGAATGGGCAGTTCTTATATCCAATTCATTCAAAAGTCTGAACTGATGAAGAAATGCAGGTAATATATTTCAACTTTTTCCTTCACGTCCAACTTTTTTTAGTCTTCGACTTAGGATTGATGCATATTTAAAGATATATACTCGTAAAAAGGAAGAAGATATATACTGTAATTTTTTAAAATACCGCGTTGGTATGATCCTGGGCTTAAACTTGAAGGCTTTTGGCTTGGATACAATGTTAAATTCATGCTTCAACCAATTCATCTGAAAATTCCATTAAAGAGAGTCGGCCAGGAGCTCTCCTTCGTGGATTACGAGCCTGTTCGGCAGCTCTCCGCTCCTGGCGCAGCCGGAGCGGAGCGGCCCGCAGCCTATTTGCTCAGAGTCGTCAAAGTGTCGCTCCCCGCGCTTCCGTATTTTGCGGAGCTGGATGATTGCCGAATAGGCTCTATATTATACGGGCCTCTCCTACGTGGATCGAGTACGTAGTCCCGGCGGCTACCGAATGATGGAACAAGTGGCGGAGCTACCCCGGAATTCGTGCGGCCTCACGAGGAACGCGACAACGTTGCGTAATACGCAGACAAGAAATGGAGTATAAAATCCACCTCGCTGGTGGCGGTTTGTTCGGCTAGCAAACAAGGCGCGTACTAGATTCGAGGCCTGCCAGCGCCAGGTGAAGAAAATCGAACGTTTCTGTCGGCTTTTGGTGAGGGAATGAGCTCTGCGAAGAAGCGGTCGACATATGTAAGAGTCCAAAAACTTGCTCATAGTTTAGCGTGCCCGTGCATCCGAACGACGAGGCTGATTTAAGCAAAGCGATTCTGCACTGTAGCAGGTGAGAGGCATCTGAGGAGTCTGCCTGACCGGCTTCCGTGAAAAGAGCCACACCCAACCACGACGAGCATCAAAGATTGAGGTGAGGGTGAGCCCTCTCCAGGACGACTGTTACGTACTGAAGAAAAGTTACGGGTGCATTCGGTTTTCGTAGTTCACAGGGCTTCTAGAACAAAAATGCTACACTTACGGGAAGACGTGTCCTAATACAATCAATTGACCGCCCCTGAATTTAACCATGGGGCCCTACGCCCCTACCCATGATTAATCCCGACGCCTCCACCTCAGACCCGTAAGAGCTTTCTTAGAAAAATTCCGCAAGTCCAGCGTATCTCCTTCTAAAACCTACGAACAGAAGAACCACAGAAATGGAATGTTGTGATATTATTGAAAACTACAATATTGTATGATTGTTTGACTGTGTATAGGGAAAGCAGATAATTCTTTACACGAGAAGCTCGAGTGGGTGATGCTGAAGAGTCAAGTATTTTAATGTTATGTTTAATCCAGAAAAACAGTAAATTAAACATGACTAGTAGAATACCCGTGCGTTGTCACGAATCTTTACAGATTGCATCTTTGAATACAATGCATCTCTCTCTTAATTTTAGCTCAACGTAATTTCGCTCAGTCTCTCTCTCTCTCAATTTTAGCTCAACATAATTTTGCTCAGTCTCTCTCTCTCTCTCTCTCTCTCTTAATTTTAGCTCAACGTAATTTTGCTCGGTCTCTCTCTCTCTCTTAATTTTAGCTCAATGTAATTTTGCTCAGTCTTTCTCTCTCTCTTAATTTTAGCTCAACGTAATTTTGCTCAGTCTCTCTCTCTCTCATGACTCAAAACTTAATTTTAGCTCAACGTAATTTTGCTCGGTGTTAACATTCGATAGCTATCCTGGAAGTGTAAACACTAAAGGGAAATCTTAATTTTTATACGGGATAAGACAACTTTTCGAACTTCATGTACAATAAGAGGAACACAGAAGGATGATCTCACATCCATAAATATCCAAACGATTTTTGTGCATCCACTCTATATACTCCCTCCGTTCCTTAATATTTGTCTTTTTAGAGATTTCAAATGAACTACCACATACGGATGTATATAGACATATTTTGAGTGTAGATTCACTCATTTTGCTTCGTATGTAGTCACTTGTTGAAATATGTAGAAAGACAAATATTTAGAAACGGAGGGAGTACATTATGAAAGATGAGCATCTCACACTGAGAGTTCAAAACCAAAGTGCATGTTTTCAAATGTAAGTCATATCAGTGCACAAGCAGATTGCCTCCAAACTGAAGTCTGAATTTGGACAACACCGAACGGGATTAGTGGTTACATTCACCATGTAGATGACAATATCACATTGTGCTATCCTCTGCATCACATGATCACAGTAAAGCTACAAATAGACAGGGCTGGAGACTAAGCTTCCAACTTTATTTAACCCCAATGCTTTTCAACTAATAAGTAACGATTTTAAGAAAGACATCATGAAAATGACATACAATATGAACCATGAAATAAAATAATATTGAAAGACATTTATGAAGAAATTTCTTAAAGCTTGACCATTGCATCATGAAAATGTCATTGCAAGATCTAACTTTGCCCAGTCTCGGGGCGAGGGACTGCCGCATTACGCACAAGTTCAGATAGGAATGGAGGAAGACGGAGTAGGGTTTTTTTTTTTTTTTTTGAGGCTAGGAAGACGGAGTTGGTAGCCAATAAAGCGAACTTGAACTAGAGGCTTCTTGCTTTGACTCTCTTGCCATCCCAAGGCTAGATCGATCTCCGCGGCATGCTCCATGATCGCGGTGTTTGTGTGAATCTGCTGTGTGTTTAGTTGCCATCGTAGGCACGGACCATTGATGTTCTATGACCGTCGCCGCTAACCAGCAGAGCCAATGTCGGGGTTCGCCTGAGCCCTTGGCATTGCTTGAGTTGATGTCTTGGCTCCGGTCTGGAGCTCCGGTGGTGTGATGAGATCTTTGTCCGCAACCTGTTTGATAAAATGCGGCTGCAGTTTGTGCTAGAAGAATGCGATGACACCGCGCCAAACTCTCTTGCCACTTTGCCAGCGATGTTTGGTGCACGTGAGGGGTCAACAGGAGGATGGAACGTGGCTTGCTCTTATAAAGCTGGAGAAGTTTGCAGAATCTATATGATCTCATGGGCATGAATACCTGATCATTTGTCTCAAATGGGTAAATAATGTTTATGGCGCACTTACGAATGGAAGGTGGCGTGAGTCAAGGAGCTGGTGGATGTGATGACAGCTTAAAATTGCTGTACTACTACAACTTAAAGTTAGCATCACAGATCACATACAAGCATGATACATGAACACCTGAAGTTCACATAAATAACACTAACCACATAAAAACAACAAAAAAATTTACATATACACAAGGTAGATTCTGAGTGTCAGTTTTGCGTTAGGTTGTTAGTCTGATTGCTGTACATTAATTGCCCCATGTTTGTTAAAAGCACCTCACCTCATATGACTAGCAACGACAAGTGTATCATGCAGTAAACTACTAACAGACTCCAGTCTGCTCATTTAATTCTTACAGAAATACCTTTGTGACATAAAATGTCATTACTATCTAATTTTAACTTGAGATTTCTAAACCAAGGTGTAAGGTCAAGGGAGAGTACTCTGAACAAAATGGCATGGTTGAAAACATTTTCACTCAAATAAAACAATAATCCAGGTGTCATACAAATTATATGATTATGAGAATATCGTTGGCACTAAAAACCGAAACCAGTAGATTCCTAAGCAAGACGAAAGAAGGCAGGAAAACAAGTATTTATTTAGCATAATTACATGAAAAACACTTCTGTGAAGTCAATTTCCCATAAACTTGGACATGAAAGTTGTTGTATTTACTGCTAGTACTCCCTCCGATCCATATTAATTGACGCTGCTTTAGTACAGCTTTGTACAACACTAAAATTTGTACTAAGGCAACATCAATTAGTATGGATCAGAGGGAGTACATTTGTTAGGCTTAGCTGAACAGAACAAAGAATTGAATTACCATATAAATTATTAACACAAACAAAAAAATGCATGGTTTAAATGACCAAAAAATGAATTTTGTTGATACATGCTTTTATGGGATGAAATCATGTAAGATCATCAAATTGACATGTATTGGACTGAAGTCAAGCGGATATGTGTAAATTTTTACATACTTCCTAAAAATACGAGAATGAAAATTGTTTACATAGTGTGAACATATTTTTTGAGAAGGGGGATGCCCGGCCTCTGCATCAGAGCGATGCATACGGCCCTCTTATTAAGCAAGTAAATATGTTCCAAACAAGGTCTGAAAGTCTAGAAGTCTCCCAGCGACAAAAAAGGAGCTCATACAGAGCCAGAAAAGCTAGAATACAAACTAGCCAAATAAAGGACGCCACAACCGGCTGGCAAAACAGAGAGATAGGTAAACTAATTGCCTATCTTATTACATGACCGCCATCCAAACCGGTTGAATATATTCCGAGCTACCATCTCCGAGCGGATAGATCCAGTAATCAAATGCTCTCTGGCCTCCGTCGGAGTGAGTAGCGACCACGAACGGATCAATGCCGTGGCTCGGAAAATAACCTGCAAAAAATGAATATGTGATATCCTGTTAAAAACCAAATCATTTCTGCAATTCCATACAGTCCACAGCAGGGCACAAACTCCTACACGAATATGTCTCGCCAAGTCAGGCTGTATCCCGTTAAGCCACGTCCCAAATAACGTGTTGACAGAATTCGGTGGAGTAATATTAAAAGTAATATGGACCGTCCGCCATAAAACTTTGGCTAGC